CCAGATATGAATCCGATGTGTCACATTGACTTTTCAAACTCTTTGACTCTTTTTAAAATACGATTAAAACATGAAAAGAACATAAAATTTAATACATCATAATTAAAAATACATATCAAAGCATCTATACTTTAATTTTTTTATGGTACATGCCAACAACCTTCTTGTGACACTATCACATACAATATCACATTTCTCTAATCTAAAAATCTGTAAAGTTATGTTGTCTTGCTTACATCTCGCATACTCTTAAACTTATGTGTAAAAACACTCACACGCTAAGTCATTGACTTAGTGAGACATTATGAGTAATAAGAAACAAGAAAACATTTGTATAAATTTATTGAAAGAAAAATTAAATTACAAAACATCACAAGTCTTATAACTTATAACATCTTTTATTAATCACTGAAGAATTTATACTCATTTTATTCTTGACTATACCTTTCATGTTATTAATAATATAGACTTTTAAACAATGTACACTTTCATAATCATTTTTAGTTCATATAAACTACATAAAACTTATACACTTTTCATTTCATATCCATTTGTTTATTTGGCCCAACATATAATACTGAGAACTCAAGATATGTGAGTACATTGAGGTTGTGCACTAATGCTGTCACCACAGCTTATATAATTTGCACCGAAGTGCCACATAGATTTTCACCGAAGTGCCACATAGGTTTTCACCGAAGTGCCAAATAGGTTTGTCTTGAAGGACCACATAGATTGTCCCGAAGGACCACATAGAACCCTCGACTCTTGGCATGCCAATTATACCACTAATTCTCATATATATATATATATATATATATATATATATATATATATATATATACACATTGGGCTTTAACTTATAATTATTTTGAGTTTCACTAGTTAAAGTGTATCTTATTCGCATAGAGTACATTCTCTTAGTTTACTTTCACATAGAGCAATTTCACATAGATCACATTTTTCGCTAGAACATTTTTCTTCACATCATTTATGTTCTATAAAACATATACACTTATCACGTTTCACATACACTTCACGTAGATCTTTGTGATATAACATTATACAATTTTCTTATTTATTCACATTCAACATTTATTCAAAGTATTTTATTTCTCATAGCATTTTCCAATATTTTCCTTTAATCACATAACATATATTCATAGTGATTCACATAAATATTTCATATTACATATCATTATTCCACTTATTCATTTACTTATATGAATCATACTCATATAGAAAATTTTCACATAAACTCATGTCATTTCATTTTATTTAAAAACATTTTTAGGTTGCCTCATCGCAAGCCTTCCTCCAATCATAATTTATTTAAATAAATAGCACTCACCTTTGCCTCAATTAAGCCCTAAGCAACACCTCTTTCACTTTAGCTTACTAACTTTGCACGTCCATTCGTTCAACACTTGTTTCCAATCAAATCTACACATTAATATGACCCATGAATGTCAGAGCTCAATTACACATACCCAATTAATCTTTACTTGAACGAATAAAACACTTAATTTAACATTTCAAACTAACTAGCATCGATACTCTTCCTACAGAACCAATACTTCTCTTCTATGGTATCGATACCCACTTCAGTATCGATACCATTTTAGCATTATAAAAATCCCCTTTTAATTACAGTATCGACATCGTCCTCTTGGTATCAATACCTACACATCGGTACTGGTACTAATTCAATTAGTATCGATATCGTTCTTCGGCTCAAACAAAATTCTTTAAATTTAACCTTATAGTATCGATATTGTTCTTCCAGTACCGATACCCTTACCCATAATTCTTATGGTTCATTTCAAAAATTTACCCATCTTCACTTAAATCTCCTACTTTATACCCCATTCAAGCCTTTAAACTTACTTACACTTACCCCAACTAACTTATATACAATAATCCCCTTTAATATCCAAATTTATCCATATAACTCTTGAGACTAAAAATCATATCACTTCTTCAAACATGTTCTTAATTCTTTTTGATACTTTTAATCCCTTAATTAAACCCTTGACAAGTCAAATATTCCTTTAGAATTCAAATATTCATCATTTCCTAACAATTTCCTCAAAAACCCAATACTAAATCATTATTAATTTATCCATCTCTTAGTTTCAACTCATCTTTTAGCTTTATGAAGATTCTATATTACCAAAGGAACCAAAACCAAATCAAAAATGAAAGAATGAAACAACTTCAATTAACTTACCTTAAACATGGAAGCATACGGTGGATGAGAAGAAGAGAAGAGTATCCAAAATCCTCATTTCCTTTTTCCTCATTTCCCACATGCTTAAATAACATTATAAATGAATTTTTAATTCCTTTCATGACAAAAGACCATTTTGCCCTTTCTACCTTCAATCTTTATTAATAAGTCCTATATACAATTTTTTCCAAATTAGTCCTGAAACTTTTCTAATTATCGAGATTAAACCACTAACTTTTCAATACTTACACTTTAGTCATTGACCCGATATTTGGGGTGTTACAGACTTAGGTCCTTAAAATTCTAGTCTCATAGAACTCAGTATTTTAGATCTTTGACCTTTTAGTCCTCGAACTTCAATTAGACCTTTAAGATTGACATAATAAATAGGTTAAATAGAGCCTTCATTTTTTGCTAGATTTCAATATAGTCCTCTTAATTTAGGGAATAATTCGAGTTGGCCATCGCGTAAATGCTCGAGGGACCATTTCGGTTATTCGATTCAATAATTGGTTTAAAAATCAAATAGGGTTAATATTAGAACATACACTTCTAGGTTTGTATCTTTAGGTTCTTTAACTTTTATAATTCGACACTTTAGAATAGAGAGAGTCTTAAATCACCCTTAGTTAATTAGGACGAATAAAATTTGTTTGATTGCATTTTTAAAACCTAAGACAATGTTCACTTATTAGGGAATTAATAATATATCTCCCGCAAGTATGCTCATGGGTTGCTAGTAGTGATTCCCAAAATAGGCGACATCCTTTTCAAAACAGCTTCATGATTTCTAAAATATCGAGGCAATATTCAGTTATCGGACACAATAGTTGATCTTCCGCATTCATGCTATGAGGAGAATGTTATCGGCCTTAATAAACGAATACTCTTTTTTAACTTTGCATCTGTAATTATTTTTAAATTAAATAAAGTTCGAACTCAACATTTCTGATATTAAATATATGGTAATCAACTATGTACCAATTTTTGGGCGCTTGTGGGATCCTTCCCCAAACATAATTGATTCCCAAATCTAATTTTTGGATTTTCGCATAAAACTTGATATTTTGATAAAAGTAAAATGTTTTACTAAAATAATTGATTTTTATGGTGTCTCAATCACACCTTAAATTATTGGTAGCGACTCTTCACGTTTCAAAATTCTTTTCAAAGATAAAAACTCCAAGTCGATAGGTTAAATGGGGAAAATCAAATAACAAGTCATAAAAAAGAATGGATTGAAATGGAAATGGAACTGAAAAAAAAAAGAGACGAGATTATTTCAAGGGTTGTCCACCAACCCGACCTCCCTATTAATTTGTCTTTGCTTGAAATGGGAACACTGTTTTCAATGCATTTATTCATTATATTATTTTTATATTCATAGTACGGTCATTTTCTATTATTCTATCTCTGCACGCACTTTCACAACGTTATTAATGAAAAATGATCCATTTTTTAAAATCACTATTTACCATTTATAAGTATTCCAGGAATCAATTCTCACAAATATAAAAGGAGAAAAGATTTAGCATCATCTCCTGGTTTCCTTTTTTTTATTAATTGTAATCTAAAATCTCACTGAAAACCCTCCCTTCTCTGCGAATCTCGAGCGCTCCAGTGCTTGTGGTGTTCATGGCGATTGCAGCCGCAGCTGTCATCGTCCCATTGGGCCTTCTTTTCTTCATTTCCGGCCTCGCTGTTAATCTCATTCAGGTTCTTTTTAGGATTTTTGATATATTTGCTTTTCTTCTAACCTCTTAGGTGATCTGCTTCTTGTTTTGATTCGATTATGTGGAGTCTCTTTTTTGCTCTCTTTTGGTGATTTTTGCGTTCTGAGTTTCTTTGTTTTCTTTTCAAATTTGCTGTGGTTGCATTGAAAGAAAATGCCCGTAAATGTTTTATCTGTTCATTTTTCTATTTGATGTTTCTTGGCGGAGATTACTAAGAAGCTGGCATGTGATCCGGGTTTTGAATATACTTTACTTCTTAGCTAATAGAATTTTCTAAATAGAGAATTAAATCAGAATCTTTAGGTTTCACCTTGATGACACATTCAGCTTTTGTCACCGTGTTTACTTGCCTTACCTCACGATACCATTTGATGCTATAAATGAGACTAAGAGTTTAAGAGTCCATTTTTGTTGCCTTTTATTTATTTTTTGGGTAGAAATCAAAATTTAATTTGTTAGAAAAAGTTGTTTCAATTTGATAGTTGGCTGATGTGTAAATGTTCTCGTTGTCGGTGACCTTTTTTTTATGTTATGCAATTTGATTTTCCTCCTTTTTCCAGGCAGTATGCTTTGTTCTCATTCGACCACTGTCCAAGAACACATATAGAAAGATCAATAGGGTGTTGGCAGAGTTGTTGTGGCTGCAACTGGTTTGGCTTGTTGATTGGTGGGCAGGAGTTAAGGTGTTAATGAGCTCCTTTATTTTGTTGTTTAAAAATCATTTGTTCTTAATCACTCAATGTTCTTTTTTGGGTAGTTTTGAAAATTTATAATCTAATGCTGAAATCCTTTTTGAGTATTGTACATGCTGAAACCATTTATGATGTGTAAGTTTTATGCTGATCAAATATGTTCTTTCCTTCTTTTTCCTACTATACTTGCAAACAGTTAATCTCAAAAGTAATCTTATTTCTTAGCAATAAGATATATAATCCACGCCAAGAATTTCTCTGCTTTCGTTGAGACTCCAGTTTGGCCATATCTTTTTTTTCAATAAATAGGAATGATGAATTTTCTATCTCAACCTGAGATGGGATGTTACTTATATGTTTTAGACAATGAGAGTTTTGCGCAATGTTGAATTTTTCATGCCTCCAGTGACTGATAACTCCAGTTGATAGTAGTATTTAGTTGGTTGAAAGCCTGTTGTCCAACTAGTATCTTTGATGTCCTTAGGCTTAAAGATTTGGCAGTTTTTAGTTCGGCTCAATAATTATGCAAATATTACTTGAACAATTATTATGAAGTTTTGTCTTCTCCAAGGGCTAATAGATGTTCCTAGATATTGATTGAGCCATTGAGGTGTTAATTATTGGCTGTTAGTGAGCCAAATTCTTTTCATGTTGAAAAAATTGGTATTATGAATGTTATAGCTTAAGTGGTCTACTAGTCTCCTAAAAACAAGCTTTTGTTCTCTGCAGATTAAAGTGTTCGCTGATCGTGAAAGCTTTAGTTTAATGGGTAACGTTAATCTCTTTTTTTTAGGAAACTTATTCTCACTTATTCAAGTTACGTGGATAATTGGTATCCTCCTATCCTAAACTTTTTCTTTCAAATGGTGTACTTATCATCTGATATTTAAAATTTCCAGGTAAGGAACATGCACTTGTCATATGCAATCACAAAAGTGATATTGATTGGCTAGTTGGATGGGTTTTAGCACAGGTCTGTAATTAATTTATTCCGATTCCAATTTTTTTGCATCCCGTTCGGTTGAGTAGTACATTATTTGCTTCCATTGCGCTTTCCAAAATTTGCTATTTGACATTCTAACTTCATGATCTTTTGTCCCTTTAAGTGCTGTCTGGTTAAGAAACAATTGAATTTGCTTTCGCAGCGATCAGGTTGTCTTGGCAGTACATTAGCTGTAATGAAGAAGTCATCAAAATTCCTACCGGTATGTGTTGGTATCATATGTTTGAAGTATCAAATTTGAACACTGAGATAGTTTTCATGATGAACTGTTTATTTTCAGCTGATATTTAGACGTAATCCTCAATTTTGATTGGTTATAGCTGATGACCATGCTGTGTACATGTTTTTCCATACACCTTTGCAGACAGACCTCCACTGCACATGTTCATTTATGTAAACATTTGAGATGTGATTAGCTAAGTTAGTAATTATGTTAATCTTCAGTACGTAAACATGCTATCTTTTAATTGAAATTGAAAAAGGAAATTAAGATAACTAGCGAGTCACTCTAGTCAAGATTCCTCTGTTTTATTTCGTCACATTAGCTTCTTCTTTTACACTGCAGTAAGGTTGGTCTCTTGAAAATCTTGTATTTTTAGCAAATTATTCATGAAGTTAGTCTGCATGATTCAGAAGCAGTTCTGTTTAACTAGTAGTTTTTCTTTTATCTGAACTACAACATCATAAACAAATGCTATTATGTGCCTGCTACATTTAATAGTGAAAGTTAGGTGTCAGTCTTTCGCATGGTAGGTAGTGCAGTGTAGTGGTTGAAGTCAACTATTTTTCGCCTTCCTTTCCCTTGTGGCATCCCACTATGTGATGTTTTCACTGCATGCTTCTGATTTTAAATTTTTAAATTTGTTTATTAGAGAAGCAAATGATGTTACATTTTTGTATACTTGTGAAGAATGATAACAAGTTCATGTCTGATATGCTCAGGTTATAGGTTGGTCAATGTGGTTCTCTGAGTATCTGTTTTTGGAACGAAGCTGGGCCAAGGATGAAAGCACATTAAAGGTAAAAGTTTGCTTTCAAATTTTGGATACACATGTAAAAAATTCATGGTTTTATGCATATGCCTGACCATTAATATTGCTTTATTTACTTGTTTGTTTGTTCATGCTTGTTTTTAAACTACCCGTATTCATCTCATTCGAATCTTGTGGAAATTATATTTGCAGGCAGGTCTTCAACGTTTAAAGGATTTCCCACGACCATTTTGGTTGGCACTTTTTGTAGAAGGAACACGCTTTACACAAGCAAAGCTAATAGCAGCTCAAGAATATGCAACCTCACAAGGATTGCCTGTGCCTAGAAATGTTTTAATTCCTCGTACAAAGGTCAGATTCTTGCTGCTCCCATTTCTTGAAATCTTTGTTACCTTCTAACTAGGTGCTCTTTTTGTAATTATATTTTTTATGGATATTTAGGTACCTGAATTTAGGTCCGGTATTCATGTTGATAACTTTCTTCCCTGAAATACCATATAGTATTCTGTTTAATCTAGGTAGATTTTGTTACAACCTCCTGCTGATACTAACTTTCTTTCCAATACAAGTTTAGTGCTATTATTGGCACACTTATTCAATGCTGAGCGCCTTAGCTTGCCTCAACCATGTTGGACTAGGTGTTAATTTTCTCATTTGTCATGCTGAAGTTTGTTATTTTCCTCTTGATCACTTATCTTGTGGGCTTTACTGATAGTAATTCTATATGAAAATGTATGCCTGATAACATTGTCTCTGTTGCTTCAGGGTTTTGTTTCAGCTGTAAGTCATATGCGTTCATTTGTTCCAGCTGTTTACGACATGACAGTGGCAATTCCTAAAAGCTCACCCTCGCCTACAATGCTTAGACTTTTCAAGGGGCAATCTTCAGTGGTAATTTTGATTTCAAGCTGTGTAAAGCAAGTTTAACATTTTTGCATAATTATATATCGATATGAATGTTAACGTTGCTTTCATTTTTTTTCATAATGATATGTCCTGGGGGAATTTGTTCCTCATCTCTTCAAGACTAGAAAGTATTGCTTCTAAATTCAGCATGATGATGAAAATTGTTTTCAGTTTAAGGTATACCATGCTGTCAAGTATTTCTGATGAATCCATAGAGAGCATGAAGTAAATGTGCAGGCTTCATAACTTGTTAATATTTTCTCTGTTCTTTAGAATTTCATGGAGTGAGCAAAAATTTTGTTGGTCATTGGCACGATAAGAATTATTAACTACTTGTTCATACTGTGTGGCAACTTCAATTGGTTGTGTTGCTAGGATTATCATTTTTGTGAAGCAACTAATTGAGTTTAGGAAATGTTTGTGTTTCCCTCTTCTTTCCATATGGTTGAAACTTGATACATGTTATTTTGGAGTTGTGATGAAAACTGTACCTGGTTGATCTCAAATATATTAGCTGATAATTCAAGCAGTGACTTTTCTATTGGTTCATTCAGTTAATGAAAATATACTGTTGCTTGCAGGTGCATGTACATGTTAAGCGACATCTTATGAAGGAACTGCCTGAAACGGACGAGGCTGTTGCACAATGGTGTAAAGATCTGTTTGTTGAGAAAGTGAGTTCTATTTATCTACTGTTGTAGCATGGTGCTATTCTAGGTGGTCTTGTTTGCTTGTCTGAAATAATCTTATGATTGAAAGGAAAACAAGGATTTCTGTCACCTTGAAAAGTTGAGAATCTGTCTTTTTTTGCATAATGGTTAACAATGTTTGTTCTTGTGCATGCTAGTTCATGCATTTAGTTTCCTACTTAAGGTTTTGTTTCTGTTCGATTTCTCGTATAGGACAAGTTGTTGGACAAACATGTAGCTGAGGACACTTTTAGTGACCAACCATTACAGGATATTGGTAGGCCGATTAAACCACTGTTGGTGAGATTCTTTATGTTAAATTAACCGATCTTCGTTTTGATTTTATTCAAATGCTTTTGCTTCTGCAACTAAATATGATAACAATATTCTTATTCTTGGATCAGATTGTTTCTTCTTGGGCATGTCTCTTGGGTTATGGAGCTCTCAAATTTCTGCAATGGTCTTCACTTTTATCCTCGTGGAAAGGGATTGCATTGTCAACAGTTGGCTTAGCCGTTGTTACCATTCTCATGCAAATCATGATTCTCTTCTCTCAGTCTGAGCGTTCAACTCCTGCCAAGGTTGCACCCGGGAGGCCCAAGAATAATGGGGAGAGTTCCAAGGCAAGACGAGACAAACAGCAGTAGGTTGAGCCTTTCCTCGCAAGATATCCACAGGGAAGTACATTTGCAGCCATATTTTGGTTAGCGATCAAAATATGCTTTCATTTTAGTCTGAGTTTCAAGTTTCAAAAGCATGTGCTTTAGTCGTCATCAGGATTCAAGTTAAGCAAGTTTGTTTGTGTATGCATATAATTATTAAAGATACGCTTCTAATTCACTCCTGAAGCAGTTAATTTCCTCCTCACACTGCGTTCATTCACACAAAATTAAGATCACATTCTAATAATTTAATAATTGCATGTTTAAATATGAAGACTTTAATGTATAAAATAATGTTAGGGATGTTAATTTATAATGTGTATATAATAATTAATTATAATTATAAATTTAAAGTAAAATATTATAATCTTATTATTTTATCTAAAAAATTATACAATTTTTAGTTGGTTAATATTTCAATCAAATATTTTCATTGCAACTAATGAATTGTAATAATTTATTTTTAACGTAGATATAAGAATGAGTAATATTAATAAAAAAATTAGATGAACATATTAATTTTGTAAATAAATTTCATTAATATTATAATTATAATTTTTTATTATAATTATAAAAATATTTATATATTTATTATTGATCTATATATTAAATATTTCTATATTCTATTTATTCTATATATTATTTTATTAAAATAAAAAATAGAGAAAGAGACGAACATGATGTGACAGGATTCTGCTTATTATAATAAATTAATATATTATATGTTATATTTATTTTAATTTTATTATAATAAAAAATAGAGGAATTGGAGTATCAAGTGGTAAAAAAAACGTACAAAGTGGGGTATTAGACAGAAAAAAGTAAAAATTTAGGCATTATTTATTATAATAAAAAACAAATAAAGTGATGGGCAAAAGGCGGCAGAAGCGCATCGCATGGTGCCTGTCCCGAAAATCTTTAGAGGTGAGCATTTTGGTGAGCTTCACGTCTTTTAGTTCGACTGTGAATTAGAAGCGTTTTTAAAGCATGCTTTTTAAAATTAAGCATGTGTCAGATCATCTATAATAATGATTGATATATGTTATATTAATAAATAAACATATTTAAAAGTATCATATCAGTAATATGTAAGGGTGAGCAAAAGAATAGGAAACCTTGTTTTGAAATCGAAATCGGTTAAGAACCGTCGGTTTCGGAATCGATCT